GCCTTGGCAGCGCCAGGGGATAAAGGGATGATGTTCTGGGCAGCCCCACGGCCATCACGCCACAGCTTCCCAGAGGAGCCATCCACAGTCTTCTCGGTGGCAGTGATGGCGTGCACTGTGGTCATGAGTCCCTCCACAATGCTGAAGTTGTCATGGATGACCTTGGCCCATGGGGCTAAACAGTTAGTGGTACAGGAAGCATTGCTGACGATCTTGAGGGAGTTGTTGTACTTCTTGTGATTCACACCCATCACAAACATGGGGGCATCAGCGGAAGGGGCAGAGATGATGACCCTTTTGGCACCACCTTCAGGGGGGCCCCGACCTTCTCCATGGTGGTGAAAAACATTAGTGGACTCGACCACATACTCAGCGCCAGCATCACCCCACTTGATGTTGGCAGGATCTCGCTCTTGGAAGATGGCAATGGCCTTTCCACTGATGACAAGCTTCCCGTTCTCAGCCTTGACAGTGCCGTGAAACTTGCCGTGGGTGGAATCGTACTGGAACATGTAAAACCATGTAGTTGAAGTCAATAAAAGGATCACTGATGGCCACAACACCCACTTTGTATAAAACTATATGACTGTTGCCCATTGCCATTCTACAGCTTCAACTATTAGAACATCCATGGATTTTAAGAAATAATGGTTCTAGGGGCAGGGATATAGCTCAGTGGCATAAGCACCTGTCTGGCAAGTGCAAGGTCCTGAGTTTGATCCCTGGTACAAAAAAAAAAAAAGTTTTCTATTGTATGCTGTAAGGTGCTTGATATTCAGACAAAATAGTAATATTAAGCTCTATACAAAATATTATGTCATTAAGCCATTCTTCTGGATGTTTGAGAATTGAGATATAGAGACAAAAAAACTAGAATGGTAGATGGGCTAAGAGGACAGCTCATATTTTGGCCTCGGCCCTCAAAGGTCAATGAGGGGGGCTGGGGAGATGGCTCAGTAGAATAAGTGCTTCCCTGGCAAGCGCAAGGGCCTGAGTTCAATCCCCGGTTCCACCAAAAAAAATTAATAATAAATAAATAAATAAAAGAAAGAAAGAATGAAAGAAAGGTCAATGAGGACCCAAGACATGAGGGAACCTTTCAATGACATCCTGTCTGGTGACTTACATAAACTCCTGATCAAGGAGATTGTAGGGCCACAGAGGATGAGGTCTACGGTGTATAGTGTGCCTAGGAGAGTGACTAGAAGAAAAAGGCCTCCCAAGTTTTGCAGAAAGCAATTTGGTCAAGCAATGACCACGCCTCATCCAGATGGCTGGCAATGACTGAAAAACTAAAGATGCTCTACGTGGTTCCAATGTAAATCCTGGGGAAGCTTATAATTGAACTCTGATACAAATTTCCAATTTTGCCCATCACAGCATATTGAAAAATGTTATCTCTCTATGTATGTCATATCACTATTATCAAAAGTCAAAGCCGGGTGTGGTGGTGCAAGCCTGTAAACCCAGCACTTGAGAGACTGAGGCAGGAGGATCATTATGAGTTTGAGTCCAGCCTGGGTTACTGAGTGAGCTCAAGGCCAACTTGAAATCTGTAACAAGACCCTGTCTCAAAAAGACAATAAATAAATAGTTAGCTATAGATCTGTGGGTTTACTTCTAGGCTCTCTATTCTACCCATGTGTTTGCCTGTTTTTATGTCAATATCATACAACAGTGATTACTATAGCTTTCTGTTAGTGTAATTGTGATAGATTTAAAACTTCATACAAGGGACAGGGAGATGGCTCAGTGGAATAAGCGCTTCCCTGGCAAGCTCAAGGGTCTGAGTTCAATCCCCGGTTCCGGAAAAAAAAAAATAAAAAAACTTCATATATATGGAATTTTTTTGTATTGTTTTGTTTGTTTTTGTGGAACTGGGGATTGAATTCGGGCTCTTGCACTTGCCAGGCAAGCGATTATTCAACTGAGCCATCTCCCTGGCCCTATATAGAATTTTTAATATGTGCTTTTGTTAAGTCAGACTCTGTGTGAAGTGGGCTGGAATAAAGGATTAGTGTGCACACCCCTACGCTTATGCAGTCCCTGGCAACATCCATTTTGTCCCCCATTTCCCTGTTTTCCTTCCACATGAGTGAGATATGGTATTTGTCTTTCTGTACCGGGCTTATTGCATTGAGCAAAATATCTCTAGGTTTAGACACTGGGTCATAAATGACATGACTTTCTCCTAAAACACTGGTGTTCCATTATGTAAGAGAACATGTTATCCTTACTTAGTCACCAAATGGTGGACACTTTCTTTGATTCCATGTCTTGTTTCTTGAGATTTATGTTTCTTGTGATTCATGTTTCTGTAATGTGGAAGTCCAGATCTTGCTTTATTTGGAGAATATGAAGTCTAGACCTTCAGCATGCCAATCCTCCTTTCTCTGGAGATAGATAATAGATAACAGATAATAGAGATAGACAGATAGGTAGGCAGGCAGGCAGGTAGGTAGATAGATAAAGTGGTAGAACTGCTTGGTCATACGGTAATTTTATTTTTAATTTTTTCAAAAACTCTCAGGTTAAGGCTGACCGGATAGCTCAGTGGACTAAAGCGCATGCTTAGGCAGGCACAGGGACCAAATGTTTGATCCCCCTGTGTGCCATGCTGGCCTCTCCCCCCGGGTGTGCTGAGATAGCAACTGAGACTAGGCATGGTGGTCCACGCCTGTAATCCCAGAACTTGGGAGGCTGAAAACAGGAGGATCACTATGAGTCCGATCTGTGCAATAAGATTCTGTAGACCCTGTACTAAAATACAAAAAAAAACCCCAAACAAACGAACAAAGAAACCCTCTCAGGTTATTTTGTATAAGCAATGTACTAATTTGGATTCCTACCCACAGTAGGCATGGGTACCTTCTTATCATAACCTCTGTATCACTTGTTAGCTTTTGTCTTTTTGAACTTACTCTTTTTTGTGCTTGTGTTTGTTTTTGTTTTGGTTTGCTTATTTGGTTTTTGAGACAGGGTCTCCCTACATAGCCCAGGCTGGCCTCAAGTTCATGGCATCCTCCTACCTCAGCCTCCCAAATGCTGGGATTATAGGCATGTGCCACCACACTTGCCCTGAACATAGTCCCTTCTAATAGGTGACAAATGGTGTATTGAAAATGATGTATGAAAGCAGGGAGAACAGTCTGACTCTAATGTGTGACAGAGGCTCTGAGAGGAAGAGAAGAGAAGACGCACTGGCTACAAAGAGTTCGTGCAGCAGCACAGCTCAGAATTTCCAAGAGAATGTCCACATCAATGGCATATCCCCAGGCTAAGTCAGAGGAGCCCCATCCTTCGCTGAGGAGGACCAGCGTTAGCGGCGTCCACATGCTGTCCCCTGGCTGGAAGGGACCCCTGGGAGCATCTGTTGCGTTGGTACAAGGATGAAACTGATTCAGAATGGCAGCAACTTGGGCGCTTCTGCTTCCCATGGAAGATAAATTAAGCGGTGGCGCTCTCTCTCTCTCTCTCTCTCTCTCTCTCTCTCTCTCTCTCTCTCTCTTTCTTACTTGCCAGGCTAGCACTTATTCTACTGAGCCATCTCCCCAGTCCCGTAAGTGGTGATTTTTCTATTTGTTTTTCCTACACTTTTTAACTTGCATAATACACTTGAGATTCATCACTGCTGCTGCATGTTTCAACTGTTGTTTCTACTTATGGAGGAGTAGTATTTAATTGCATGAATATATCATATGTTAATATACTCTCTTATAGCTGGACAGTTGGGTCTCTTCTCATTTAGAGTTGTTATAAATAAGACAGTTGTTCCGATTTGATTTGAAACTGTCTCATTGCTGTTTATCAATAAAATTTTGGAAAAAATCAATCAATAAATAAATAAGAGTTGTAAAATATACTTATGCAAATATTTTTGGGATCTTGTATTTTCTAATCTCTTATGTAAATACCTAACATTTCTGGGTCATAGGACAGACATTTGAATAATGTTATTTTTTAGAAAATCACTAAGTATATTTCTAAAGTGGTTATAAGGTTTCAACTCCATGGGCCCAGGGAGATAGCCTGGCCCGGGGAGATAGCTCAGTAGAATAAGCGCTTGCCTGGCAAGTGCAGGGCCCTGAGTTCAGTCCCCAGTACTGAGGGGGGAAAAAAAAAGAGCTCTCAACTTCTACCAAGAGTGTATGTGGGTTCTACTTGGCCTATATTGTTGTTCTTACTTGGTCTGCCTACCTTCTTTCTTTTCTTTCTTTTTTCTTTCCCTTTTCTTCTTTCTCTTGCGTTTTAGTTTGGTTGGTTTGTTTATGACAGGGTCACAAACTACTTGCTTTGTAGTTTAGGCTGGACTTGAAGTCACTATGTAGCTCAGGCTGGCCTCAAACTCCCTGAAATCCTCCTGCCACAGCCTCCTGGGGAGGTTTATCGGCTTGCGCGGCCATCCTTGGTTTCTCTTGCTTTTTATTTTTATTTTTTTAATTTTTTTTTCTTTTAACTTTTTATTTTTCTTTTTTTTTTAAACTAAATAAAGTGGGGGGCCGGGGAGATGGTTAAGGGGGGGCCGGGGAGATGGCTCAGTGGAATAAGCGCTTCCCTGGCAAGCGCAGGGGCCTGAGTTCAATCCCCGGTTCCATAAAAAAAAAAATAATAAACCAAAAAAATAAACTAAATAAAGTACTTTATTATATAAGAGAGGAAAGATCTGCAAGGAAAATGACTTGCTTCTGATGAACTCTTGCTTTTTAATTTCAGCCTTGTAAGTGGACGCATACAGGACCTTATCTTAGTTACGTACTGCAAACATGTATTAATAAAAATAAATATTGAAGTACAAAAATAAATAAACGTGAGCTCTAATGGAGCGGGCGGGGCACCTGCCTGTCACTCCCAAGGCTCCACCCACATCGGGCCACGCCCACCCTGCAGTGACGTGGCCCCGGCCGGCGCCGAGGAGGATGCTGGTCCAAGATGGCGGGGATAAGGCGTATGGTGCCGCGGCGGCTCGTGAGCCTTGCGTCCCTCCGGGCTGTAAGTGCCCCGGTCGCGGCGGCCCTGCAGGCACCGTGACGGTCGAGCTCGGGGGGTTGGCCCATAGCGGCTGCTTCCCGAGAAGCGAAGCCAAACACTTTTTCCAGCCAGAACTAGGGGAGTATTGAAGTTTTGGATCCGTCCTATCTCAGATCCCTGCCCCCTGCCCAGGGAGGGGAAACTGAGGCCCGCTGACGCGAAGCGGCCCTTTTGGATCGTGGAGCCGTGGGGTGACAACCTGGACACCCTAATTCTGTGTCCAAAGCCCTTCCGCTCTCCCTAGCTCTTCCTCTCGTTGAGCCTCAGAGCTCTCAAGCGCTTCGTTAGTGAAGGAACACTTCTGCAGGGCAAAAGCGAGGTCGCCCCCTTTCCCGTCTCCCGTTTCCAGCTTCTGTTGTTTTAAGGACTCGGTGAGAATTTGGATGGCTTGGGGCCAGGCTGTGATTCCCTCACTTTGCGCTTTGAGTCTGTTCGATGCTGTGCCCGGTGAGTGCAGGGGAGGTGTAGCCGCGCCAGCTGTGTCAAAGGTTAAATAAATCGTGTTGGTTAAAGCGTGTGCGAGTGTGGTCTAGCCGCGTTCTAGGCTCGGTGACATCGTTTTTTTACTCTTCGGAAACCTCTGTTATCTCACCTGTAAAATGGGTATTACATTTAGCATTGCCCTGGCTCTTAATAACCGGATCAGTCGGTGGTATTTTTACTTTAGAGTTTGGAAGGAGTTGTATCAACAGCAGGGAAAAATTACTCTGCTGGCACTGGGCTCCTCTCAGAAATACACTTTAATGTTTCTGGGCACTGCACCTCCACCACCTCCTCATGGGTAAAATGAAAATGGTGACTACAGCCTGGGAAGTGAAGAAAATTAAATAAGGTGGTGGATAATTACGACCTTTAAACAAAACAAACGTAATGAAATGATCCCCCATGGGGTTACTAGCGTGTGTTTAGAATCAGAACCAGTCCTGGACTTGAGCCCAAACTGTGTCACTTTCTAGCTGTGTGATTTTGGATGATGGTTTTTCCTTCCTGATGTCAGATGGTAGTCCCTTGCCCGGAGGCACCAGCGCCTGTGCCCTGGCTCTGAATGTTAGTATTGATGTTAGTGTTGATATGCCATAGCCTGGGATCCTGGCAGACAGTAGGAGTTCATCTTCTGGGCAGAATTCCACAGAAAGAAGGAACTGGATGAGATTCAAGTTGCAACACCTTCCTGCTCAGTGTGTTGTTCTCATGCGGCTCAGTGGCTTGTCACCTTAGTCTGTTGGAAGCTTTACTGGCTAGAAACAGCCACTGAGGTGACTTGTCAAATTTCAGCTGGCTCAGACTAGAGCATATTTCCTTCCTTAAAGGTCTGGGGGTGGGGGTGAGTGGGATCCCTGACAGATTATACAGCATATTTCCTTGTCCCATTTCAGTATGTTTACCCAGGTGAAATCTCCTAAAATGAAGTTGATTTGAAGTTGTATTAAGAGGAGGCCTGGGGAGATAGCTCAGTGGCATTAGTGTCTGCCTGGCAAGCATAAGGTCCTGAGTTCAATCCCCAGTACCACATGCCAGGCCGCCTCAGAACCCTGGACTTGGTGGTGTATCATTGTAATTCCAGCACTAGGCAAGCTGAGACAGGAGGATCAGTACAAGTCCAAACTATATGTGTAAAAGAAAAAGGGGGAAAGAAGCCCGTGGTACTTGCTCCATGTTACTTGCTGTGGAGGAAGGGTAGCTAGGGGGCAAACTTTATGTAAAGCAGGATCAAAGCTTTTAAAAAAATTTTTTTGTTAAGGTCCTTCCCTCAGCAGTTGGCGGTATCATCTCCTCTCAGACTCATTCTCCTTGGCCTCAGTTTAGGATTAGAGTAGCACTTTCCTGTGTCTCCCCAGCCACTCTGCAAAGTCCAGAGCTTATCCCTCACACTCAGTGGCTGCCAGGTCCTCTGGGGCAGCCAGGCCCTCCTGTTTGTGGTTTCAGTAATTTTAATGACCACCTCCTTTGTGCCAGGAGAAAAGGAGATACTGTGCTGGAGAAAAGGCCATGGAGTTGGGGTGCAGCGACCCTGCTGGAAGCTGAGGGGTGAAGAGAACAATAGAGCCAGGTTGAATCTCCTTGGCCCACTGGAGCCGTGTCACACAGAGCCTATAGGCCAGGACAAATAGGTGAAGGGGATGAGTCAGGTTCCAGTTTAAACAACAGGATGGGCACACTGGGACATGTTTTTTGTGGGGAGGGGTACTGGGAATGAAACTCAGGACCTCACTCTTGCCAAGCAGGCAGTATACCACTAAGCTAAATCCCTGGCTGGACCTCTTATGGAGCTAGAAAAGATGAAGTTCTTCTCAGGGACTGTTGAGTTGGAGATGCAGATAAGGTCAGATGGCAACCGAAAGTGGGTCTGGGTCTCAAGGAAGAGCCTATCCTGGGAGTGCTCTTACTCATTCCTGTTCCAAATGCAGTCTGCTTTTTGAGTGTAAGAGAGACCACATGCGAATAAAACAGTAAGAACTATTGCTTCTTGTCTCAGTACCAGTGAGGAAGGATGCATCCTATCAGACTGGTAAATGGTGACAATCCCTTTCTCTTTTCATTTCCTCTTTTAAACCCCAGGTCAGCACTTCATCCATGGGCATGCTCCCAAAACAAGTGAAAATTGTGGAAGTTGGTCCCCGAGATGGTCTACAAAATGAAAAGGTAATAGACAGAAATCAGCCAACAACAACCAAAAGGACTTCTGAAATACTATATTTAATTTTGCACTTTAAGAAACAAAAAGGTCTGGATGTGTGGAAGTGTTTACCCTGAAAAACAGTGTACAACAGTGCAGTCCTATGGAACTTTCTGTGAAACTTTCAGTTTCCTTTGGACCGAGGAACCAAATTTGTATTTATGTATAATTTTAACCAATGTAAATTTAAATACATATGGTTAATAACTAACAAATTGTAGAAAGTTACTAAGATGTTAATGGTGTCATTTCTGGGAAGTTCTAAGGGTAGGTTTTTTTTTTTTTTTTTTTTTATTTAGTACAAGGTCTCACTACATAGATCAGACTCATAGTGCTCCTCCTGTTTTCAGCCTCCCAAGCTCTGGGATTATAGGCATGTGTCACCACACTGTCTCAAATTGAATCTCAGCATACCCTGGAGACAGGGCTGGCATGGCTTGTGTTGAGGATCAAACCCTGGTCCCTATGCTCTGCCTAAGCAGGCGCTTTAGTCTGCTGAACTATCTGGCTGGCCCTTATACAGGCTAGGTTTTTTTTTTTTTTTTTTAACATTTATTTATTGTGTGTGGCCAGCTCAGCCCACCAGGGGGCGCGGCTGGCTGGCATGTGGTGCTGGGGGATCG